TGCCAGTGCTCCTAACCACTGAGCCACCTCTCTAGCCTGTCTTTTATGGAATTCTTGAAAGACGATAATGGTCATCTCATTTCTGCTTTTCTACATCAGATGGAGTATTGGCACAATGTTTCAAGAAGTTAGAGACGCTGAGCTGACAAGACAGCTCAGTGCAGAAAGGTGTTTGCTGCCAAGCCTGGCAGCCCAGCTCCTATCCCAGGACCCACATAGTTGACCACCACTTGTAAGCCATTGTGCACATACAAATTATGCAGAGAAAATAAATATGTAAATAAGGTTCAGAGATGTTATGATTTTTGTACTTCCTCAAGAATTCAAGACACCAGCCCTAGCATGTTTACCATCTGTATTACCTGCGCATGATAAACACAAGTTATGTCTCACTGCATTTTCATGATATCATAACACACAGGGCTTCAGACTACAGTTCATGTTGGTTGACAGGAACTTTGTGAGAAGCTCTTAAGAGAAAAAGGAAGAGCCAGGCATAGTAGCACAGGCAGGTAGATCTTTGTGAGTTCACGACCAGCCTGGTCTCCATACTGAATTCCAGTACCAGGCCAGCTAGGACTACATAGTGAGACCTTGTTTTGGGGGGGGGAAATCTAGCTGAGCAGTGGTGGCGCAAACCTTTAATCCCAGCACTTAAGAGGCAGAGGCAGGGAGATCTCTGTGAGTTCGAGGCCAGCCTGGTCTACAAGAGCTAGTTCCAGTACAAGCTCCAAAGCTACAGAAAAACCCTGTCCCTGGAAAACAAACAAAATCTTAAGGTCATCCTTCTCAGGTACACACCCAGCTTAAGGTTGCCTGGGCTACATGAGACCTTTTCTCTGAATGAATGAATGAATGAATGAATGAATGAATGAATAAATAAACAAACTAGCCAATAATAATGAAAGCAAGAGAAAGAAAACAAAAGGCATCAGTTACCATCAGGAGCTCTGTACCGCATTCTTCCACTCATAGATGTGTTAGATATTATCTCAGGCCTTGGACGTGGAGCAGATTTGGCTACACTGAGTTATCCATTTGGAGCCTAAGGAAGGCAGTGCTCAGGTTGGTCTGCTCCAGATTTAAGGTTCGTGTTGAAGGGGCCCCCGTAAGTCTCACATTCCATTCTATGTAGCCATGTTCAAAGACGTAACGGGCTAGGATATGTGAAGCCGTGTCTTAAGTTGCTCTGGCTAAGTGTTTTCATGGAAAGTGACTATTACCTAACATCCTGGACATCTGCCACTGACAACTGCCTGCCAGATGCTGAGAATCAGCTGGATTTCCTTGTATTGAAATTCTTATTCTTGAGTCCATGCTCAGAGACCAGCTGGAGATTATGGAATTGTATGCTTTTCCCACTTCTTCTAAGGGCCTGGAGTACAGTGAAGTGTGAGCATAGCATGTTCCCAGATGCTCCTCGTTGTCTGGGGCTGCACTGTGTACAGCCTTCTGCCTCTTCCCACTGATATTTGTATGAGCCCTACCTAAGGGTAGGGAGTAGACACCTTCAAGCCCGTGTTCTGGGACGTCACCAGCCCTCTAGAATTAAGGTGTTTCGAGCAATATCTAAGATGAACAAACAGAAAAATGACAAGAATTATAAGTTACACCTGATGAGCAAAGTAAGATGAGCAAGCTGGATACGGTGGCTCAGACCTTTAATCTCAATATTCAGGAGGCTGAGGCAGGAGGATTTGCTTTTGTTTGAGACCAGCTTGGACTACATAGTACCTTCTAAGACATCTTGAGCTAAAGAATGAGACTTGGTACTCAAAAAAGGAGAAAGAAAAAAGTAAGGTGGCAAGGATGCAGAAGCAGCATTTCTTGGAGGAATTAGGACCTGATGTTAAAATTTCAGACCCAGCACTATGGCGGCTTAGGCAGGACGATCATAAATTTGAGGCCAACCTGGGCAAGATGCTATATCAGAGAGAGAGAGAGAACTCTGGAGGCCACAGCACCAGTAAGTGACCGGCCCAGTCAGGTCTTTGGGGGATGTGGTTAAGACAAGAAACAAGGTGGCCTTTGGAACCAAACTCAGGAGGCAAGCAGCAAGCAAGCCTGCAAAGAAGCATCGTGAACCATCCTCAGAAATGCGCTTCATGTTAACACGTACACGGCTGAGAATCCCACAGTGCCTTTCAGTAGTCTCAGTTCCATCTCTGGCAGCCATGTTTTCTGCACCTCGAAGTCACCTTAAGACAGTCTCAGCCAGACACGGTGGCACATGTTTGTACTGGCAGTGCTAGGGAATCAGAGGCAAGAGGATAGCCCAAGTTCAAGGCCAGTCGAGCTGCATACTGACACTATCTCAAACCAAAAATGGTTCAAATAATTTCAGTGTTGCATTTCCTGAATACAAGGCACGCTACCTGTGAACGTTCAGTACATTCATTTGGAAGGTTTTGATGGCCAATGGAAAAGGTCCAAAGAACAAGAGGAAGACGTATGTTTCATCTAGGCACCAGGGGCCATTGTGACCCAGGCCTCTGTCTCTGTTGTAGACCTGAAGGCTGAAATTGACAAGTTGGCCACTGAATATATGAGTAGCGCCCGCAGCCTGAGCTCCGAGGAAAAATTGGCCCTTCTCAGACAGATCCAGGAGGCCTATGGCAAGTGCAAGGAATTTGGTGACGACAAGGTGCAGCTGGCCATGCAGACCTATGAGATGGTATGGCCCTGTTCATGGCTTCTTCCCACCTCTCTCCCATCTAATTCTCAGGCCGTAGACCCCTCCTGCAGCCGTGTTGGGATCTGTTTGGGGTCTGGGAGATTCATCAGTCTGCCTTAGCTGTTTGCTTTCCCTGGAACCAACCAGCCTTGTACCTCTCCCCTTCTCCCTCCCCCGCAGGTGGACAAACACATTCGGCGGCTGGACACAGACCTGGCCCGCTTTGAGGCTGATCTGAAAGAGAAACAGATCGAGTCAAGTGACTATGACAGCTCTTCCAGCAAAGGCAAAAAGAGTGAGGAGGGGGCGGGGCTGTGAGATGCGGGCAAGGACTTGGAGGGAGAAGAGGCCAACTTCAGCTATGAGGGAGCAGCACCGCCTGGAACAGAACAAAGAGGACTTAACCTGTCTCTTTGTCTCTGCCTTCTGGCTTACCCTTTCTTCCTAGAAGGCCGGACTCAAAAGGAGAAAAAAGCTGCCCGTGCCCGTTCCAAAGGGAAAAACTCAGACGAAGAAGCCCCCAAGGCTGCCCAGAAGAAGTTAAAACTTGTGCGCACGTGAGTATACCAGAGCACACCCACCTCCCGGCCGGTACTGCCTCTTGCCACCTTCCCTGTCTTCTGTGCCAGTCACTCTGTGTCACTTTGGTGTCTGCTGGCTGGAGAAGACGCCATACACCGTTTGCTTCACCATGGTCTCCTGCCACCTCAGAGCTCAGGTCGTAGCTTCCCTTCCTGCAGGTGACATTTGTCTTCCTCTTGGCACGCAGAAGCCCTGAGTATGGGATGCCCTCAGTGACCTTTGGCAGTGTCCACCCCTCTGATGTGTTGGATATGCCTGTGGATCCCAACGAACCCACATATTGCCTTTGTCACCAGGTCTCCTATGGAGAGATGATTGGCTGTGACAACCCAGACGTGAGAACCATTTGCCTCAGGATTGGGGGAGGAGCTCGGAGGGGCATGAGGGCGGAAATAAGAGGAGGAGGTGATTCCATTGGAGAGAGGGACTGCAGAATGGAACAGTGGTTGGACTGGGCTGCCTTGAGGCTTGCGGGAAGTTTCCAGAAGGCTGGAATGAAGGGCTCCTCTCTCCTCCACCCCTGCTCAGGCCCTTGACCGCTTTGTTCCATCTGCCTTTTCCAGTGTTCCATCGAGTGGTTCCACTTCGCCTGTGTGGGGCTGACGACCAAGCCTCGAGGGAAATGGTAAGTCACAGAGCCGTGGCAGGAGCTGGACGGACTGTCCCAGAGCTGAGCAGAAGAGCGCACACAGGCTTCACTTACTTTTGGCTTGCCCTGCTCTTCTTTGTCGCTCTTTAGGTTTTGCCCACGCTGCTCCCAAGAACGAAAGAAGAAATAGGTTTCCTTGGATTCCATCCCAGATTTCTTCCGAATCCCCCTGGCCCAGGCTAGTGACAGAGAGGATCGCCTCTGCTGGGGCTCTGGGGGTCCAGGGAGATGTTGACAGTGCAGTACCGTCATCCCTTCTCCCCCCTCCCCACTCCTGGTGCTGAGGCTGCATCCAAACCCCGGGAGGGAGGGTGCCACAGCCACTAACGGTATGTGCTCTCCTTCCACTCTCTCCTTCAGAGGGAAGTAATCCCACTCGCTGTCCTTTTGCCTCCATGGTGAGGTTGGTGCTGTATTTCAGAGGGAGGGTCCTCTTCATTCCCCTTGCTTTGTATTTAAGGACTGGGGCAGTGGAGTGGGGCGCTCTTCCGGTCTCCTAAATCTTCCTTCCCTTCCCCTCCCGGGGCTCGGTAGGATAAACTTCTCTTTGGTGAGGGATCTTCTAGATCATTTGGGCTCTGCCCTAGTTGAGTGATTGCCCCTTCCTATGTGACCCGGGGATTTCTCCTGACTTTGAATGGGAGAGGGCCAAGGTGGAACAGATAACTCACATGTAAAAGGAATTGGGGTAGGTAAATAAAAGCTCTCCATGCTAGCCTGCTGTGTTTATTGTAGAGACGATTTCCCTACATGTGATAAGCTTTCTTTTTGCATCCTCTGGATTGGATGAGAGGCAGGAGGATGGCTTGCCAGAAGCAGGACAAGACATGAAACCCAAAATGGTGCTTGTCCTGTGGTGCCCACAGCTTCTCCACATGCATCGGGGGACTCAGAACTTTGTAATTATGCTCTCCGTGAAACACTTTTCACCTGATTCCAATAAATCATGTATTTGCGTTACACGTGTGTGCTGTGATAGTGTTAGCTTGATTTCTTTTAAATACAAATAAATATAATAAAACTAGTATTTTCTCCCCATCCCCCAGTGAATTGTGTTGGTCCCCTCCCTCTTGGAAAAAGTAAGTCCCTTGGGCCGCTGAACCATTCTTACACGTGTGTTCATTTTAACTTTGGACCTGTCCCTCTCCTCCCGCAACCCCAAACAGTTTCTCTATATAACAGCCCTGGCTGTCCTGGAACTCACTCTGTAGACCAGGCTAGCCTCAGACTCAAAGATTCAGTTGCCTCTGTCTCTGCTGGGATTAAAGGTGTGCGCCACCACTGCCCGACTTCTTACCTACCAGGTCGTCCCGGCTTTTGTTTCAGACCTTCCAGCTCTGCTGTCCAGAGTGCTGCCAGTACTCAACGACTAGGTCTCTGTACAGCGTTGCTTCCCTAAGCTCACGTTCTGTTTCTGTAGAGGAGGTGATGAGTACACACCTCGGGGTCTAGGGCTAAGTAGCTGAAAGTGGGACGCAGGCCTGGGGTTTTAGCTTTGGTAGGAGAAGCAAGGGTCTAGGCTCAATTCCCGGCAGCGCAAAGATAATTTCAAAGAAAGCAGTACTGAGCAACAGAGGGCTTACTCGGTTAAGAAGGACTGGAAGGCCTGCGGCTCCTGCCTTCGGACCAAGACCCGAAACTGGTGCAGCTCACGGGAGTTCACCTCGTGCCCCAGCCCCGCCCTCACCTTTTGTGACGTAGCGGATGTAGCGCGCCTCCCCGCACCCGCGTTAGCAGCCCGTGACCCACAGCTCTCCGAGGCTTGGCCCGTTGGAGGTCGCTTCGGTGTGAAAACGCGGGTGGATCTTCCGGGCCATGATGAAACTAGCTGTAGGATTCCTTCTGCTGCTTCTGGAAGGTGAGTGGCTAGGGCTGACGTGCCATGGCCTGAAAACGCGGGTGGTTCTTCCCTGGGGCTTCCTTATGCTCCCAAAAGGGCTTCAGGTCCCTTCCTCCTAAGAACCCTTTTTCATTGGTTCTGTCTTCATGCGGTCGAACTGAACCACTTGGGAAAGGTTGGATCTTAATTTCTTGTCCCTAGAAGCTTCTGGGGACACTATAGTCATCAGACATCACCCAAGACGGCCTGACCCCCTCTCTCACACACAGCTACCTACCAATTCTTAATTCATGAGGAGTCTACTAGTCTGGGTGTGGCCACTGGACGCGGAGTATGCTTTGGGGTACGGTCCATTCTTGTCTGTCCCCCTTCCCTGCAGTGCGGCTCCTGCCTGTAACACCTCTTCCAACTGACGATTTATCGGCCTCCACTCCGGGCAGCCCTCTCTCATCGACTGAATATGAACGCTTCTTCGCCCTCCTGACCCCAACCTGGAAAGCAGAGACTACCTGCCGCCTCCGTGCAACCCACGGCTGCCGGAACCCCACTCTCGTCCAGTTGGACCAATATGAAAACCATGGATTGGTACCAGATGGTGAGGGCCAGACCAGTGGGAACTCTAGACACCCAGAGACCAACTAGGCTCAAGGCAAAAGTTTCGTGGTCATAGAGGAGGCAGGGGAAGGATATGGCTGGCAACTCCTGATCTCCGCTCGTGGAGACCTTGCTCCAGCCCCGGCTTTCCTGTAACCTCTCTCTCCATGGCTACTGTCCTCCCTCAGGTGCTGTCTGCTCTGACCTCCCGTATGCTTCCTGGTTTGAGTCCTTCTGCCAGTTTGCACAATATCGTTGCTCCAACCATGTCTACTACGCCAAGGTGAGAAAAGGTTCAATCTGGTAATCCAGAACCAAGATAGAGGTGGGAAGTTGAGGAAGGGCATCATTAGTTCGTGCTCCCTGTCAGCTTGCCAAGGTGACTACTCTCCTCGGGTGCTCACACGAGTTCTTGTGAGTAAAGGAGAGAAGGGATTCAGGAAGAGGCCCTTCTGTTTCCATTCAAGTCCACCGAGAAAGAGTGAAGGCTGGCACCAGGCCTGAATAATCGCCCTTTCTTAGGATTGGAGGCCCCCTAGAGGAACTGTGTTCCTTCCTCTTACCCGGGAGCTGAGGGAGTTGTTACTTGCTTGGAAGGGGTCTGAGGGATCCCCCTGGAGCAGGGATGGCTGCTCTCGGGAAAAGGTGTTCCCATCTTTGTTCTTCCCTTGCAGAGGGTCCGATGCTCCCAGCCAGTCTCCATCCTGTCACCCAACACTCTGAAGGAGGTAGACTCTCCGCCAGATGTCCCTCCCACCACCATGACTTCTGCCATGGCATCCCATGTCTCAGGTGAGCCTTCCCAGTGTGGGAAAACCACAGTCCCCAGGGCTGGGGGGAGAGGGGTCGGGGAAGGGAGAAGCTTTTGCTTTGCTTGAAATAAATCAAGGCTCTCTCGTCCTAGAGTTTCTTCCACTGTTACTTAAGGTCTTTGTATGAATCTGGTTTTCCTAATTCCAAAGACAGGTTGGCCTCGAACTCATAGAGATCTCCAGTTAATATCATTGCATGCTCTTCCGAGAACCTGGGCTCAGTTCCCAGCCCTCACATGGCAGTGCTGGGAGATGCATCGCCCTCTTCTGGCCTCCACCAGCACTGCGTGAATATGGTGCCTGGACATATATTCATACACATAAAATGAAAATAAAAATAAAAGCCTTCTAGGCCTTTGGTAAATTAATATCTTTATTTTAGAGAGTATTTGGACTGGGAGCATAGCTCAATGGTAGACCATGTACTTAGCATGTCTGAGGCTCTGGGTTTGATTCCTAGTATCCCCCTCGTTCAAGTAGAAGGAATTAGTTGCTAGTTCCTTAGAATACATGGTCTTCCCTAGATGAGTAAAGGGAACATTTGTTCTAGGGAACAAGCACACTTACTTGTAAGGCAAGTGGGAAGGCGACACCACCAACACATTTGTTAAGGTGATATCTTTTGACATTTATTGATTGTATATGCAAATGTGTTCACGCGTGCCTGTGCGTGCCTGTGCATGTGTGTGGAGGGTCTTCCTCAGTGACCACATTTATTTTGAGACTGAGTGTGACTGTGTAGCCCTGGCTGGCATGGAACTCACTGTGTAGACCAGGCTAGCCTAGAACTCAACAAAGATCTGCCTCGATCTCCAGAGTGCTGGGGTTAAAGGCGTATACCATCATGTCCAGCTTAGACCACCTTAGTTTTTGAGACTGGTTCTTTCATGAAACTTGGAGCCGTGACTAGTGAAATGACTCCATGGCTAAGAACACTGGCTGATCTTGCAGAGGACCTGGGTTCAATTCTCAGCACCTACACCTACATGGCAGCTCACAGCTGTCTGTAACTCCAGGTGGTGGTGGTACAAACCTTTAATTCCAACACTTGGGAGACAGAGGCCGGTGAATCTCTTTGAGTTCAAGGCCAGCCTTGTCTATAGAGAGAGTTCCAGGACAGCCAGGGGCTATGCAAACAGAAACTCTGTCTCGAAAAAAAAAAAACAAAAAATAAAAAACAAAACAACCGTCTGTAACTCCAGTTCCAGGAGATCCAACACCTTCATCCATGCATACATGCAGGCAAAACACCAATGCATATAAAATAAAAATAAATTATAAAAAAATAGACACATTAAAAAAAAAAGAAAGAAGGAAAAAGAAACTCCGAGCTGCTGGGCATGGTGTCACAGGTCTTTAGTCTCAGCACATGCGAAGTAGATGGAACTCTGAATTCTAGATCAACCAAGACTACATAGCAAGACTTTGTCTCAAAGAAATAATTACTTGCTGGGCGGGGGTAGTGCACGCCTTTAATCCCAGTACTCAGGAGGCAGAGGCAGGTGGATCTCTGAGGCCAACCTGTTCTACAGAGCGAGTTCCAGGACAGCTAGGGATACAGAGAGAAACCCTGCCTCAAAAAAACAAAAAATAAAAATTAATTAATAGAAAGAAGCTTGGAGCTCACTGACAGCCTGTAAATCCTCAGCATCCTTGTGTCCGCACCTTCCCAGCACAGACTGTAGGCACTTGTTGCCATATCCAGACTTTTTTTTAAAATCTATTTATTTATTATGTATACAGTATTCTTGGTATTCTGTCTGAATGTATGCCTGCAGGCCAGAAGAGGGCACCAGATCTCATTACAGATGGTTGCGAGCCACCATGTGGTTGCTGGGAACTGAACTCAGGACCTTAGGAAGAGCAGGCAGTGCTCTTAACCTCTGAGCTATCTCTCCAGCCCCCCATACCGAGACTTTATGTATCCTCTGAGAGTTGAACTCAGGTTTCCATGCTTGCAAGCACTTTAGCAATTACCCTCTAGCCCCAATTTCATCCCCCCCCCCCAATTTCTTGATTAAAAAACAAAACAAACACACACAACTTGTGCTGATACTGTTTTTAGATAGGGTCTCCAGCCTTGTCTAGCCTCGATTCCATCTGTAGCTGAGGCTAGACTTGAAGTCCTCCCCTGTCTCCACCTCCCCGGTGATAAGATTACAGGCCCGCACTGCCCTGGTGGCACAGATAAACGTGGTTTCCCCAGGGGAAGGAAATCTGATCTTTGCTCTTCTCTTCTCTTGGTCCCCTCTACACCTTGCTGCAGCCACGGAGCGCCAGGCCTTCCAGCCGTGGCCCGAGCGCCTCAACAATAACGTGGAGGAGCTGCTGCAGTCGTCCCTGTCGCTGGGGGGCAAGGAGCCGTTGGGCAGCCGCAAGCAGGTCCAGGAGCAGAGCAAGCAGGAGCAAATGCAGGAGCACAAGCAAGAGGAAGTGCAGGAGCAGGAAGAGCAGGAGGAGGAGGAGGAAGAGGAGGAAGAAGCCAAACAGGAAGAGGGGCAGGGGACAGAGGAAGGCCTGGAGTCAGCGTCCAACCTGCAGTCGGACTCAGAGCCCAAGTTTCAGTCTGAATCGCTGTCTTTTAACCCTTCGTCCTCCTTTACTCCCCGGGTCCGAGAAGTGGACTCTCCTCCGCTGATGATGGAGAACATCCAGGAGCTAATTCGGTCAGCCCAAGACATGGATACAGTGAATGAACTGAGCGATAACTCCTGGAGAAGCCCAAGCACTGGCAGGTACAGGAAATTGTGACTTCTTCATGGGCCCTGCCATCCCTGCTGCCATCTTTGGAATTGCGAAGCCCACTTACCAGCTTTGGTCTCCAGACCCTCTCAGACCTGCTTAGGCTTCAGGCAAAGCTAGCAGTGGCGGGCCCCTCCTGTTCTGTGCCTTTCCTTGTTTTAAGTCCCACCCTGGGTTCTGGTCTTATCTCTGGCCTTGAATAGCACTAAAGCCTTCAGAAAGTTATTTCTCCGTTTTGTTGTTGTTGTTGTTCTTTAATATTTATTGTTACTTAGGGGTGTGTGTGTGTGTGTGTGTGTGTGTGTGTGTCTGTTATGCACATGCGTGCAGGTGTCCATGGAGGTCAGAAGAGGGCGTCGGATCCCCTGGGACTACAGTAAATGGGTGGTTGTGAGCTTCAAGAGTGGGTGCTGGGGACCAAACTTGGGTCTTCTGGAAGAGCAGCGACTGCTCTTCACCACTGAGCCATCTCTCCAGCCACTGTTTCTCCATGTTGGACTTCAGTTCCTCATTTGTATAAAGTAGGCAGCTGGTCCAAGGTCCTCTCTGGCTGCAGGATGGAGGTCCTCTGCTAAGCATGCTGAATGCTTGTCACCAAAGCCCAACTGCTTGGCGGCGGGGAAGAGAGGATGTGGCTTTTCTGCCCCACCCCTCTAGCCCATCCCCACCAGTCTGTACTGTCTTCTTGCAGCCTCCTGCAGCTGCCCCACACGGAGACCATGATGGTGCTATGCTATTCCATTATGGAGAATACCTGCACCATGACTCCCACAGCCAAGGCCTGGAGCTACATGGAGGAGGAGATCCTTGGCTTCGGGGATTCGGTATGTCCACCATGCTATTTAATGGATACATGCCACTGGACATTCCATGGGCCTGGTACTGTGTGAGCCATGGGTGAGGGGCTGGGCAAAGAAAGCATGAGGGGTAGCTTAAAGAGATTCCTTGGAAGGACATCTCCAGCTGCCACAGAGGAAGTAGGTTCAAGACCTAGTCTGGAAGCCAGTCTGGGCTTGAATGCATCCTTCAGCTCTTGAGGTAGTTAGGCGGTAAGCCATCCCTTGAATCCTAGGCAGCATATTCGGTACCTAGCTGTGCTCTTTTTCCTTCCAGAAGGTTCATAGAACGTATTCCTGTTGACTCTGGTGGTGCAGGCTGTAGGCCCAGCTGCTCACAAGGCTGAAGCAAGAGTCACAAGTTCACTCTGTGGAACAGGCAGCAGAATGAACACGGCTTAGTGAGACCCAGTCTCAGATGAAGCTCAGTGGTAGAACAGTTGCCTAGCGTGCGGAAGACCCTAAGTTCAGTCTCCAGTACCAAAACCAATACATAACAGAAACCATTTGTATTAGGATTCTCTAGAGAAACAGAACTGAAAGAATGAGTGTATATTAAAAGGGCATTTATTAGATTTGCTTACGTGATACAGTCTATACGTAGTCCAACAAATGGCTGGAGAGGCTCAGAATCTGGTAGTTGCTTAATCTGTGCGGCCTGACGCACTCAGCGGTTCCAGACTGGCGCTGGAGGCCTGAGGATTCCTGCAGACCTGCTGGTCTTCCGTCTCCACTGGAAGCCCGAAGACACTGGTTCTGATATCAGTAAAGGAGTGCCACCTCCGCATGGTAGCCGGACTCGCCAGCCAGCATGAAGGCAAGCAGGCCAGAAAGCGGAGCTCCCTTCTCCCCTCTCCCTACTGTCTGGCCTACGACTGCCCGGTGCAGCCAAATTTAGAATCAATCTTCCCCCTTCAAATGATCTGCTCAAGAAAATCCCTCACAGGAGTTCCCAGTGGCTGTTTTTAGTTGATTTCAAATCCAGTCCAGTTGACAACCAAGATTAACCATGAGAAACTCAGCCCTTGTCAGTGGACACCCAGTCGTCTGTCGTGCTTAATCTCCGCATGCAAACAAGATTATGTTTCTGCCTACATGTGCTATAGCCACCCCGCATATAACTAAACACATTAAGAAGAGGTGGCAAAATCCCTTGAGGAATGCTTCGTCTTCCAGTGTCCCATAATTTACATAGGATAATATATATTTACAACACCTAAGCACTAATATTATCTCAACGGATGTCGCATTACATGATAAAGGAATAGAGGAAAGAAAACACAAATGTCTGCTTACTATGTGTGTGTATATGCACAAACATGTCCTTAACACAACAGGACGGGAAGACATCAGTTACAGTCCTCATTTCCGTGACTGGCCACAGGGCCTTAGCCGGTGGTACTGATAACTTCTACTACTCGTTCTGTGCCTCCTCCCCTCAGAAAGCGCCTTGAGTGGAGGGGTGACCCATTCCTCTGTCCATGAAGGGTGGGGATCCTGTCCCCCAGCCTGGATTGGGTGGTGGTTTCCCATTGTCCTTGATTGCAGGACAGGGCATGGTAGCACCAAGAGGACGCCCTAAAGCCACAGTTCTCAACCTGTGGGTCGGTGCCTTGCAGGGATCGCATATCAGATATCCTGCATATCAGATACTTACTTTATGAATTATAACAGGAGCAAAATTACAGTTATGAAAGTCGCAACAAAAAATTTTACGGTTAGGGGGTCACCACGACATGAGGAACTGTATTAAAGGGTCTCAGCATAAGGAAGATTGACAACCAGAGCCCTAAAATGTCTTCCGCACTCCAGACGTGATCTTATCTCCATTGTGAAGAAGGAATTCAGCTTCCCCTTGGTAGACTGGATAAATCACCCTCCTAACATCTGTTCCTTTCTTAGCTTGGGACTTGTTCCCCAAAGTGGCGGAGCAGGGGGGGGAGGGGGGGGTGTCTTAGCGTCTACTGAATTGTAATGTTTGTAACTCCTGGCAGGACTGCTCCCCTATGGAGCCACAACTCCTGGCTAGCAGAGCCGAGAGTCCAAGGAACAGGAAGAAAATCAGTTCCTAGGTCACTAGAGGTGAGAGTAGCGGTGCCGCCCTCATTTCCACTCCTTGATTCCTAGACCCTAAACCCTGGCTATGGAAGAAGTCATAGTGTGTACTGGAGGTTGATTCAAAGCACATGCAGTCTTCCGGAAAGCACGACCCCAGCGCTTTACGCTGCTCCCATCTGATTGGCGCTGTAACTGTCTTTAAAAAAAAAAAGCCATTTGAAGCCAGGCAGTGGTGGCACACACCTTTAATCCCAGCATTCAAGAGGCAGAGGCAGGTGGATCTCTGTGAGTTGGAGGTCAGCCTGGTCTACAGAGTGAGTTCCAGGACAGCCAGAGCTGTCTCAAAACTCCCCCCTGCCAAAAAAAAATTCCATTCCAAGGGCTGGAGCAATGGGCTCAGTGGTTAAGGGTACCAGTTGCCCTTCCAAAGGAACTAGGTTTATTTCTAAACACCTGTATGGTGATTCACAACCATCTGTAACTCGAGCTCCAGGGGGATCTGACACCCTCTTTTGGCCTCCAAGAGCACCAAGCACACACATGGTAAACAGACATGCATGCACAGAAACATCCATACACATAAAACTGAAAAAGTGAAAAGCCCATTCTACCATTCTGCCAAGCCAGCTCTCTTCAGGATGGTGGGAACCGGTGAATTCCATGAGCGGGGGCCCACTGGCCCCTTACTTGGCTTAGAAGTGAGTTCCTTAACTACAAGCAAAGCTGTGGAATACCATGGTGGTGGATCAGGCACTCTGTAAGTCCACGGGTGAGTTCACCAGAGGCATGGACAGGAATGGAAACTCCATAAGTATTCAAGTAAGGAAAACACACTGCAGTTTCCACAGTGGTGCCTGCCACCAGGGGGATAGTTGTCATCCTGGGGACTGGTGCCATAGTCTGTATCAGGGTCCTCTCAATGAACAGAACCCGGAAAATGAGCACATCCGAAGGGGATGTATTGGATTGGCTTACATGATATGAGCTGAGTAGTCCAGCCACGGCTGTCTCACACTAGAGAGGCCAACAGTCTGGTGGTAGCTCAATCCACGAGGCTGGATGTCTCGGCAGTCCTGACCAGGTACTAAAGCCCGGGAAGAAGGTTCCTGGGGAGCAGCTGGTCTTCAATCTACGTCGGAATCCCAAAGAAGTAGATTCTGAGATTAGTGAAGGAATGCATCTTTGATAGCAACAGGATAGATGGACTTGCGGGCGAGGCGAAGGCAAGGAGCCAAAACGGAAATCTGCTTTCTCCCTTCACCCTTTTATCTGGGTTAACACCCTCCCTTCAGCTCTCCCCACTTCAAAGAGTCTGGTCAAGGAAATCCCTCACAGAAATGCCCACAGGCTTGCCTCTTAGTTGATGTTAGGTCTGGTCAAGTTGACAACCAAGATTACCACCATCTCAGGGAATCTGTAAAATGGTCCCAGTTCCAACATTTCTTCCACATTTCGCAAGTCCAGTCCCAGAAAGATATGTGCTTTTAAGGGTCCCTTTTTTGTGTGAGGCTCAAGTGATGCTCTCTCGGCCTCGGGAGTAGGCAGTAGTTGGGTGTGCTGGTGCACCCTACCACACACGGTTCCTTGGTTTTGAAACACTACAATTCAGCAAACAACCACCGAGCCAACCTACCACTCATTCTTCTGTTTCTTCGGCTAACACTGATTGGGCACCAAATGTCTGCTTGACCCTTGGGATGCTAGCAGGGTACAAAGAAGATTCAATGCTTGCTCTCGTGGAAACCAGTTGGGGAGAAAAAGATAGGGTGTGCTCAGCGGGAGAGAGCTTTCACATCCGAGGCACCTGGTGCCAGGCCTAGCTGGGCATTGGGAGGTCAGCACTGCTATGGGGACTGGGGACGAGGAGAGAATGCCGAGAGAGCAGCTGGTGTCGCCAACATGCAAGATGGCGGCGATCGGAGAATGTTCTTCAGGGAACCGGGGTTTAAACTGAGACCTGAAGGGAGTTAACAAGGCACAAGGAGGGGCCCGGTGGTGGGCTCTTGGTAGGGAGAATAGTACGCACAAGGCTCTGCAGCAAGCAAGACCTAGAAGTTCACGAAGAGCTCAGGATGAACATGTTCTCTGGCTGGAAGGAACTTGAGCCTGACGTGGGAGGATTACGTGGAGTCAGCAGTATTATAAGAGGGTGTGCTGGAGAGATTTTTTTTTTTTTTAGAAACGTAAGTTCAGAGGTCATAGACTCAGGGTAGTGTGCTTGGATAAGGGAGCAGAGTCCATTTTCCTGAGCACATGGTATCAGAAGACAAAGTCAAACAGATAGGGTACTAACGTGGGAAGCCCTGCCGCTACTGGAGGCATTTAACACTGCAGGGAAGGGAAAACTGATAGAAGTCGGGGCTCAGGGGCCTGCTGCGGCAGGGGTGAGCAGGGACTGAAAAGGCGCCCACGCCTTGTTTCAGGCTGCCCCTTGGGTGATGGTGGGATGAAGGTGCACCTGAGCAGATGTTTCTGGTTGTGCTGAGGAACACTCAGGACCAGCACAGCTAGGAGATGGGTAACCCCACTCCGAAAGGAACTAGGCATGTGATGGAGAGCGGGTCTGAGAGATGGAAAGACCTGGATCCATGTCCAACTCTGAGCAATGTTCCTAACCACATGGAGCCTCGCTCTCCTCGTGAGTAAGTGCCGGTGTCATTCGTTAGTACTTGTGGGATTAATGGCGTGCCTTTGGTGTTTGGCCTCACTATGGAGACCAGGCTGGCCCGGAACTCAGAGATCCACTTATCAGTGTCACCAGGATGCTGGGGTTAAAGACGTGTGCCACCATGCCTGGCTGGTTTGTTTGTTTTGTTTTTAAAGAAAGGACCTCTGTAGGCCAAACTGGAAAGGATCTCTATAGGCCAAGCTGGTCTAGAACTCGAAGATTTTGAAATTCCTGATCCTCCTACCTCCGCCTTCCAAGAGGGTAAATCCCTGAATTTTTTTTCTTTTCTTTTTCTCTTTCTTTCTTTTCTTTTTTTTTTTTTTTTTTTTTTTTGGCAGTGTCTTGCCAAGTACCTCAGGCAGGTCTCAGTCTTGTGACACTCCTACCTCTGCTGGCCAGCACTGTGACCTCTGCAAATATTGCTAGCACAATCACTAATGGAACAGAGAGGAGAGTTATGATCCTTGTTTAAGCAAGGGTAGATTCCCTTCCCCCATGTCAGATGCCTGTGAGTTCCTTGGCAAGGAGAATTTGGAGCTTGGGGAAGAAACCAGAGCTGGTATTAAAGATGGGGGCTCCACCTGCAGATGAAGTTTACTTAGGAGCTGGGAAACCATCCCGAGAGAACTGAGGGGAGGTCCCCGAGGGAGTCTTAGGAAGGATGAGCAAAAGGCCTTAGGCCAAAAAACATTGCCCATCATGCTGCGAGCTCTGGAGGATTGATTCAGGGGAGGGGGTGACCTGCCCAGACTCAGCCTCTCACTCCAACTCCTGTCCCAGGTCTGTGACAATCTTGGCCGGCGACACACACCTGCCTGTCCCCTCTGTGCCTTCTGCTCCCTGAAGCTGGAGCAGTGCCAATCTGAGAGCACCGTGCTGCGGCAGCGGTGTGGTGCTTCCCACAAGATACCCTTCATCAGCCCCTTCCTCTCAGCCCAGAGCATATCCACTGGCAACCAGGTACCTCGGCCGGGAGGCCTGCAGCAGGGAAGGCTGGAGGGACCATGGGAAGGATGTCTGGGGGTAGAGAGGCCTGTGCCTCTCATGTGTCTCGTGTCCACAGGCAAAGATCCCAGAAAAAGGCCGCTTTGGTGGGCTGGATATGTATGGAGGGCTCAGCTCTGACTTCTGGTGTAACCGGCTTGCCTTGAAGGGCTGTGAAGATTACCGAGTCTCCAACTGGCTCAGGGCTGAATTCCTTAGCTTCCAGGAAGGGGATCTCCCCACGAAGGTCAGACACTTCCCCTTCAACCTTGTCCCCCTCAGGCACTCCTGGTTCTCCCTATGAACTTATTCTGGAAAGCCAGAACTTGGGGCCCTGGCTCTGAGACCCGGTCCTTAGTGGCTTCCTGCCATTCTTTAACAGACCCTCCCCCCAGTAAATCAGGGTCATACCCAACAAAGCAGTAGGAACCCAGTGCAGTGAGGAAGCTCTAGACTTGGAGGCAAGATAGAGACAGAAGTTCTGACCCCAACTCTACCCATGGTTTGCTGAGTGGCATTGGTCAAGTCACGGCCTACTGCAAGCCAGAGTTCACTCACGGCCACAGGGAAAGCCTAGACTCTGCCCGGCCCTGAGGAACTCGCCTCCTGAAGCCCTCTTCCCATCTTGTCCAGTGCTTTCCCCATCAGTGATACCAGTGGATTTCCCCTTCCCCCTAAGCTGCCACCTCTGAGTTGTTGATGACCTATCGTGGCTGGGAGCCAGTCCCAAGCCCACTCCTTGGTTTGACAGCAGGCAAGGGCCACAGGGGAATGGTTGATCACTGTCAGTCATCAGAGGTCCTTGTGCCCTTCCCCCTCGGGCCTCCTGATCATTGGACTATTAACTGGGTCACCTTCCTATGTTCTATACTCTCATCTGTGTGTGTTTGTGTGTGTGTGTGTGTGTGTATGTGTGTGTGTGTGTGTGTGTGTGTGCATTGCTAGGCATGGCACCCAGGACCTTTGTATAATAAGCAAGCCCTTGACCACTCATGTGCTGGACCCCTAGCTACCTCCTTCTGTATCCCCAGGAAGCTGACCAATAGGATGCTCCTGGTTCCCCTCCCCTCCTTACTGTTTTCTAAGGACCCAGGACCGAGGGTGGAAGAAGACAAAAAGCACGGTGGGGTACACCCCAGTTACACACAGCTTGCTTCTCTAGGGCCCTGGCCCACCCAGGACTGCCATAACCCTTAATCTAGAGACTGGTGTCCTGTCAGGGTTTTGATACTCTGTCCCTCTCCCTGGCTCCCGGTTCAGATTTGTGACACAAACTATGTCCAGTATCCAAACTACTGTTCCTTCAAAAGTCAACAGTGCCTGATGAAAAGCCAGAACCAAAAGGTGAGCTCCGACCCTGTCCTCGGCCCTTAGTAGCCCCTTAGTGCTCCTGGGAGGGTCTGGTCTGAGCCCTCTCTTCCAGGAGCTGGGTTATGGAAACAGCTCCTTGTCAGCTTCTCTGAGGCAGAAACCTCCTCTTCCTAGTCTGGAGAGAGCCAGGTCCTCTCAGGCAGGAGCAGGCAAGGGGAGCCAGTACAGATAAGAGGGATGGGCCCAGGAGGACCCAGTGGGAAGCCCTTGGCTGGCCTGAAGACGGGATGCTGAGTTTCAGTCTGGCCTCCCAGCCTTGCTCAGTAGGTAGCCTACAGTACTTACTTCCTCTCTGAGTTTAGGCCTCCTCTGTCTTAAAGGAGGGTGAACCATTGAAACCCCGTCTGTGTCCCTTTCTGCCCTGTACCACCTGCCCTGGCTCTGACCGCTCCTCACGTCGTGCTCTCGTACGTAGACGTACGCATGTACGTACATACGTACGTACGTACATACCATCCTTTTGTAGGTGTTCCGCATGAGATGTTTGTTGACCGAGAACTACGATGTGCTGAGCCTGGCTAAAAGCGAGGAGATTATCCTTCGGTGGAACCAAGAATTTAACACTTTGGCTCTAGGCCACTTTGGATGAGCCGGGGTCTGTGCTGTCCCTGCCCCAGCCCGACCTTTCCACTTCCTCCATCGCTCTTAGACCACATCTATCAGTAGGCGTCCAGGTGCCCCTCACAGGTGTCTTACCTGACTTCTACTTACATTTTCCTCGGGTTGGGACAGCAGTCCCAGAGAGGTCCGTGATGGGTGCTCCACGTGCCTTGAAGAATACCTTCGAATAAAGTGTTTATCTCCAGCCCATGTGCTCTATTTAGTGTGGTCCCCGCCCTCAGCACCGCCAGCCACCTCATCCCCTAGGAATCCACCATCCACCTCCAGACTCCCTCCCGTTGGGAGGGCTCCACCTGCGAATGAGAACCTCCTGGGGACAGCTCTGAGGAAGCATCCTGCACCAAGAGAAGCAGCAGGGATCGAGAAGGTATGCTGGCCTTCGTCTCTGAAACTCTGGGCTCCACAAGCTCCCATGTGAATATGGGATTCTCAAGACCGAAGCCTGAGATTGTATCGACCCCAGAAAGTGTGACTTATCTTGCACTTCCCTCTATGCGGAGGGAGGAGACTGAAGCTACATCCTGGAGCTCAGAAGCCACAAGCGTACAAGCCATGTCAGATGGTCTCGATGCTGAAGCACCTTGAAGCGGCACTTTGGCACTGGCCTGGAAGAATTTGGACACTCACGAAGCAGTGCAGCTGGAGAAAGCACGTGTAGCGTCTCTTCGATAGGCTACCCGTCATTAGCAGCGTTTTAGTTAAAAGGAAACAGAACTCAGGGTTGGGGATGTAGCTCCCTTGGCAGAGTGCTTGCCTAGCATGGACAAGGCCCTGGGTTCCATCGGGCGTGGTGATCCATGGGAAGTGGATCAGGGTCATCCGTGGCTGCATAGTTTGAGGTCAACTTGGGCTACATGAGACCCTGTTTCCCAAAAAGGGGTGATAATTGTGGGGGACTAGAGAGATTGCTTAGCAAATAAAAGCATTTGCTGACAGGCCTGGTGCCTTAAATTCAATCCCCAGAACCCATGTTAAGAGGTGGAAGGAGAGAGTCAACTCCACAGTGTCGACACAGGTACCACGGCGTGATTGCACATTGCCTACATGGATCTCCCAAACACACACACACACACACACACACACACACATCTACACCTTCGTAATAAAAACATTCTCAAGCCAGGAGGTGGTGGCACACACCTTGATTTCCAGCACTCAGGAGGCAGAGGCAGGCAGATCTCTGTGAGTTCGAACTCAGCCTGGCCTACAAAGCAAGTTCCAGGACAGCCAGAGCTATATATTAGAGAGACCTTGTCTCAAAAAACCAGAACAACAAAATCAGAGGGGGGGGGGGGGGAAGAAGGCTCAATGGTTAAGGAAACTTCCTGCTCTCGCAGAAATCCCAGACTTGGTTCCCAGCACCCATGTCTGGTGACTCCAATTTCCAAAGGTCTAGTGCTATCGTCCAGCCTTCACAAGCACCTGCATGTACCTTGCACACATAGGCACACTCAAGGATACACATATGTAAAAAATTATTTTTTATTTTAGTTAAAATTTAATTTCTCCCCTTCCTGCTCCTCTCTCCAATTCCTGCCACGTTCTCTCCTCACTCCCTCTCAAGTTAATGGTTTCTTCTTTCACTGTTTCTCTCTCTCTCTCTCTCTCTCTCTCTCTCTCTCTCTCTTTCTCTCTCTCTCTCTCACACACACACACACACACACACACAATCTGCTTTAGTGTTGCTTGTGTATACATAGTTTCAGGGTTGACCATTTCGTATTGCTTAAGTTAATTAAGGGGTTCATCCCTGGGAAAGACTAATTCTCCCTCTCTCAGCCGTCATTAGCGGCCAGCAGTTCTTTGTCTAGAGGTGGGACTGCTGGTGGTTGTGTGTGTCCCCCCCCGTCCCCCCCGTCCCTCCCCACATTAGCAGGTACTAGTGTTGTCATTGTTCAGACCTTGTTTGTTTAGGCAGCCATATTGCTGAGGTACCATGGGTGAAGAAGTATCCTTGTCTTTTCTAAGAGACACGTTCTCACATTAGACTTCCTGTTCCTCTGGTTCTTTCTGCCCCCTTTCAAAGACGTTTCCTGAACCTTAGGTGCAGGAAGTGTATTGTCGGTGTATCCATTGGGGCTGGGCACATCAGTATCGGTTGTGCCCAATTGTGGTTTTTCTGGAGCATAAAATTTCTTTAAGAAAAAAAATCAAGAGATTGCCAGTCATGGTGGTGTACACCTCTAGAACACCAGCACCCAGGAAGCAGAGGCAGGAGGATCTCTGTGAGTTCAAGGCCAGCCTGGTCTACAGAGTGAGTTCTAAGCTAGCCAGAGATACATAATGAGACCTGTCTCAAAAATGGAAAGTTGAAATGTGCCCAAAATAGTAAATCTGGGTGTGGCTTGGTGGAAGAGCGCCTGCTGACCTGCAGGGGCCATCCTGGATTCAATCCTCACAAAGGAAACAAGACAATTAGAATAAGGCTTTCCTTATGCACCCTCAGCCAGCTGGAGTGGTCAGTCAATCCTGGCTTCCCATTCTGCACAATGCTAATGCTGCCTTTTGCCTAGTGTTTGCCAAACTCATGTAACCATAATACCTTTTCCAGACCCCTCCAAAAACACTGCCTTTGATCATGTAGCAAGGGGCAATGCTCAGCCCAAAGATGCAGACAGGAACCACCCTAGGCTCCCTGCCTCCAGGAGCTCCCAGCCTGAGACAGCAGCGGGAGAGGAGGAAGCATCCAGACAGGCCACTGCTAAGGAGGAACTGGGTGTGTGCTGGCATGGAGGGAGAACACTTGGCATGCCCGTGGGCCCTAGGCAGCGGAAGATGCAACCACGAGCCACATGAAGTAAACCACCTACCTGACCCAAGAGAGGAAGAGAGCAGGCAGGGAGGAGACAGGTAAGAGTAGCCTGGGTGGGGGGGAGGGTGTTAGTCATCAGGCATGGGGGTGGGTGTGCCACCTGGAGTTCCCGGAAACTGCAAGTCTGTGAGCCATAGTCGGGATGACTAGAGGTAGGGCTGGGTTTTCATCAGCTCTTGGGACTCGCGTCTCGGACCCATTTGCTGAGGTGTCTGTGGTCAAGGCTTTTCTCCACTCCCCCTCTGTGGGTTTGGAAGAGTGCACCGAGCTGGCCTGGATGGACTGAGATCTCTGGGGTGGGTGTGTCAGGCCCGCCCAGGAGCAGGTCCTACCGGCACAGCTCAGCCCAGCCCAGGGTGTCAGAGTGTCAGCGGAAGCAGTCTTGGGGCAGCGGCAGAGGAAGAGCGGCAGAACACAGGTATGGGGGTGTGACAAGCGGGGTCTCACCAGAAGTGGGGGACATTGGTGAGGATGGAGAATACGGGTGGGCTGTAGGCTTTGAGGAACCCTTTTGGATAAGGCGAGAGGGCAAAAGGAGCTGCCCTCCCCCTGCCGGGGGACAGATCTTTCCACAGGGGGCCTGAAGAGGCAGCCAACATGCCTGGCACACCCGAAGGCCTGAAGCCCCACTGTGAACCACCTTAGGGTCCTCCCCTAAATCGTTAGGCTCCTGCTTTCATGCTGACCCTGAGTTCCCTGAGGAGAGCTCTCTGAGATCTGCTCCCCTCACACCCACTCATCTTGCAGGACCAGGTCCTAACCTGGAAGACACTGAGCTGAACTGATTAAAGTTAGCTAACGATCTGGCCGGGAAAGATGGCCCTCCCTGGTCACCAAGGTGTGTTTTATTTGGTTATTTGATGCTGGGATAGAATGACTATAAGCTAAGCACTTGATCTACCACTGAGTGCCCCCTACCCCCCCTCCCCCGCTTTTGAGATGTAGCCCAGGCTGGCCTCAAAATCTAAACATAGCCAAGGAGGTCTTTGAACTCCTGATTCCTCTCCCTCTGGAGTCTGGGATTCCAGGCACGGACCACCACAGCAGTTTTCTGCAAGTGCTGGGGTTGAACCCAGAGCACACTAGGTAAATACCCCACCAACTGAGGAGCTGCATCCCCGCTCTCCTGACTGACCCTTTTGGGGAATGAAGTCTCATGCTTTTTTCTGGTCTCTGTGTTTGTTTTTTTTCAAGACAGTGTTTCTCTGTTTAACAGTCCTAGCTGTCCTGCAACTAGCTCTTGTAGACTAGGCTCGCTTTGAACTCACAGAGATCCACCTGCCTCTGCCTCCCAAATGCTGGAATTAAAGGCATGTACCACCACCGCCCAGCCCGAAGTCTCATGCTTTCTAGGATGGTCTTCAACTCCTAACCTCAGATGATCCCTATCCTATCAGCTTCCCGGATAGTTTCAACTACACGAGTGTGCCACGACGCTCAGATCTACTTCATCTATTTTTTGTTGTGCCCGAGGTAGAGCCTGGGACCTTGTGAATGCCAGTAACCTTTCTGCCACCGAGCTACCCCCAGCCCTCCCAGCTCTGTTTTAATGGGTCATGAGGAAGCGCTGCCCCTACCTGACATGCTGAAATGGAAGGGTGCTGGGCCGTCTTGGTCTCTCTGTCCACACTGCTTTGACAGACTATGGCTCATGAGTAGCACAAAGGGGGAGGAAGTGCGCTCTTGTGCATGTGGAGAACCTGTGGAAGGCTGTCTGGGACCTTTGCCATCCTCATGCAGGCCACTGCCTGCCTACTGCCTACGGCTTTAAGGGGCTCAGTGACAAGAAAGGGACTCAAAGACTTCCAGAACTTTCGTTTATGATAAGCTGAAGTCACAGCCCTGGGGGAAATGGAGGCAAGGAATATGACAGTGGCCATCACCTCTCAAACAACCAGAGACACCAGAGGCCAGCTCAGTTAATAATAATAATAATAAAACCAAGGAGAACACAGCAGAAGAGGGGAGAGCTGATGAGGATATTGGCGTAGCTAGAAGGCAAAGTGCTTGTCTAGTGTGCACTAGGCCCTGGGTTCATCCCCAGCATCAGAAACAAAGGGCGTGGGCCTCTGAGGCCAGTGGTGTGATGGAGGTTCAGGGTAAGGTCACCCAGCCTAAAAGGCTCCGGGAGCTTACTCAGAAGAGGCAGGACCTGTCAGGCCTGAAGCGAGGGTAAGATGTACACAGGGCAGAGATCAGCACGGTGTGAGCCTACAGCAGTGACTTTGAGGGGGTTGGAACTTTCTTTCCTGTTTTTCCAGCTTTGGGAGGTAGGGTGGAGGGACAGGTAGGTAAGCTGTCATCTACACAACGGGGAAACCAATTACTGGACTCTGGGTCACCTGTGACTTCTGGCTTTCCCAGAAAAGCCTTGTGAAGGCTGATCATAGTCCCAGCACTCTGGAGCCTGAGGCTGAAGAATTGTCGTGTATTCCAAGTCAGCCAGAGATATGCTGTGAGATCCTATCTCAAGGAGAAAGGAAGAAAGGAGGGAGGAGAGGGAAAAGGGAAACCCCACTAAAGGGGGCTAGACAGGTATAGGAAGGGAAATTGAGGCCGGGCGCCTTTAATCCCAGCGCTCAGGAAGCAAAGGCAGGCGGATCTCTGTGAGTTCGAGGCCAGCCTGGTCTGCAAGAGCTAGTTCCAGGAGAGGTTCCAAAAGCTATAGAAAAACCAAAAAAGGAAGGGAAATTGCTGAGCCCACGAGGGAGACTGAATCTGAGGACCACGTTAGAAGGGCAGGGAGAGAAAGACTGGGGGAGAGAGGACAAGCAGGGCTGTCCTGAGCAGGGAGAAGACAGGGCCCCAGTGACGGGGCAGGATTCCTGGGCCTGCAGGAATGGCTACTGGGCCACAGGAGGCCTCTTCTCTCTTTCTGGTGACCCCAGACTCTATCTTCTTCTAGGCTGGGTGACCTCACTCTGAACTCTCCAAACCATTGCCCTGGCCCTCAGTCTCAGGAGAAGCTGACTGGCAGCTTTAAACTGTGCACAGGAAGGCCAGAACACACCTTTTGCTTTAGTTTTGTTTTGACAGCAAGTCTCACCGTGTAATTCTGCTGCCCTGAACTCACTACATAGAAAAGTACGCACACCCCGGCGGACAGGGTTTCTTTGCCTGACCTGAACCTGGTGATGTAGACCAGGCCTGGGACCTGTGGTGACCTTCCTGCTTTCTGCCGCCCAAGTGCTGGCATTACAGGTATAAGCCAGCACACCTGAGACCGGGGCAGAACTAACAAGTCTAAGACAGGGTTCCCGGCAAACCCAGGGGCCCTGTGGGGAGCTTAGTGACTGCACATGATGTCACCCCTGCACCCAGGCTGTCAGGGGTGAGGCGCAACAGCTTGGCAGTGCTTGAACAGAAGCAGAGGAAGTGTCAAAGGGGCAATTTAGACACTTAGGGAGAGGAGTGCTATTTCCTGTGTTTGGGCTGAGAAATGACCTGCGGTTACCCCAAAGGTAATTGTCGGCACAAAGACCTGAATTTTGGCCCCTTGGAGAAGGCAGAAAGATGTGAACTGGTAACAGGAGTCACCGAGCAAGCTGTCTGTGGCACATGGGAGAGAGGCAAGGTGGGGGAGCAGAGTGCCGGTGGTGGGCAGGCTCTCCCTGTCACTGCTGAGCTTGCCAGCTGCAGCGACCTTCCGCATCGCATTGTCGGCTACAGGCTGGGGAGGATGGCCCCCTCAGGCAGAGCAGGGGGGCCGCGTGGAGGGCTGATCATGAGCTAGCCTCCTGCCCACTTTACTCTTGGCTTTTACTTCCTGCCTGTGACAGAAAAAAGCCCTGCCCCTCGCCCTTATCTCAGCTAAGAGCAGCACCCAGCCCAGCTCAGAGGGCAATGGAACAGGTTCCAGAGGTCCTGAGGAGGTAAGGAACAAGGGCCCCAGAAAGACAGGGACGCCTCGAGCCACTGGCCTGCTCTGATTTGAGCAGCGTGAGGGTGGAAAGCATGGTGCCCCTGGTTCCTCTATGTTGACTGTGGTTTCTCTGGTGCTCCATGCCTGTGGGCTGAGATATTTTTTGCATACATCTGTATGAGCATGCGCTTATGAAGAAACCTGGCTCTCTGTGCTTGGTAAAGATTTTCCCTAAGGCAGGGGCTAGGACTCCTCTTTCTTCTCTGGCCCACGTGGCTCTGCAAGTGTGTAACAGCCTGTACACAGACACTGATTTGGATGCTAATGTATGCATGCCTCCGTGTGTCTGTGTATGAAAATGTGTGTCATGGTGTGCCTATGTGACATCAGTGAGTGTCCGTGTCACCAAGCTGTGTAGGCCTCCGTGGCCCCCTCCTAGCTGGAGAAATGAAACATCACTCTTCCTTCTTTTTGGAGGTAACTGCTGCTTAGATTTTTTTTTTTCCATCTCCGCCTCCCCCCAACCTGGCCTCTTCTTCAAGGCAGAATTGGGGAGAGGGTCTGTGCTACTTCTCCCCCACACCTACACCCCTCTTTCCACACTCCTCTTTGGCAGTTTTCCCCATCTTTGCCATCTGGCCTGGCACTGGGCCCGTACAGCTCCTGAGCCAGGAGCCTGGGCGGAGCTCAGGGAAGGAGGGGAACAGGGTAAGGGGCCAGGCAGGGGCCTTAGCAGCTTGGCCTTTCTGTCTGTTGGAAGGAAGCTTTTTCAGAGTCGCCACGATAAAGAAACCCAAGAACTTCTCTTTGGAATAGTGTAATGAGTCCATCGCCGTTTCCCTTTAAGTAGCAGTTCAAAGATTCTTTCACATTTTGATCTACTTAAGATTTATTTATTTATTTATTTATTCATTTGGTTTTTCGAGACAGGGTTTCTCTGCAGCTTTGGAGCCTGTTCTGGAACTAGCTCTGTAGACCAGGCTGGTCTCGAACTCACAGAGATCCACCTGCCTCTGCCTCCCGAGTGCTGGGATTAAAGGCGTGCGCCACCGTCGCCCGGCTACTTAAGCTTTATAACTTGTTTTAACAGACAGACTTGAAATTCCCAGAAAAGAATGTATTCCTGCACTCAATATCTAGAATGTTCTTCCTAATTGTAGGGGTTCTTGATTTTACAAGTAAAATGGTAAGATTTTTGGTTACAAAATGATAGTTCTTGCTGTTTTGCTTACAAACTGTTATTGAATTTTTGAAATGTTTTCATTTTTGTTAATTTTGTAGTGATTTATTTTATTTTGAGTGCATTGTTGTTTTGTCCACATGTATATCTGTATGAGGGTGTCAGATCCCCCAGAACTGGAGTTATAGACAATTTTAGCTGCCATGTGGGTGCTGAGAATTAAACCTTGATCCCCTGAAAGAGCAGCCAGTGCTCTTAACCAGGGACCAGAGGTGTTGGAGTCCCTGGAGCTGGAGTTCCAGGTTGTGAGTCACCCGACAATGAGAGCTTGCAAGTGAACCCTGGTCCCCCACAAGAGCAGTCCAAGCCTTCACCT